TACCACAGAATGAGCTAGGATGTTCTTCCTCCTCTTCATTTTTCTTAAAAACTTACAGAAGAATTGGTGTTTAGTTGCTTGTAAATGTTTGATAGAATTCATCTGTGAAGTCATCAGGTCTAGGGCTTTTCTTTGTAAAGAATTTTTGATTATTGATTCTAGCAACTTACTAGTTATAAATCTGTTCAGATCTTTTATTTCTTCATGATTCTGTCTTGGCAGCATATGTGTTTCTAGGAATTTGTCCATTTAACATAGCATATCTGATTTGTTGATAGGAAATTATTTATAGTACTTCCTTATAATCATTGTTCTTTCTGTAAAATCAATAGTAATGTCTCTACTTTCATTTCTGATTTTAGTAATTTGGATTTTTTTCTTAGTCCATTTTTTTTAAGTTTATTCATTTATTTTGGGGGGAAAGGGAAGAGAGAGAGGGAGAGAGAGAGTCCCAAGCAGGCTGCACACTGTCAGCACAATGCCTGGCATAGGGCTTGAGCCCATGAACTGTGAGATCATGACCTGAGCCGAAATCAAGTCAGACACTTAACTGACTAGCCACCCAAATGCTCCCCCAGTTTTTATTTTATCGATTTTTTTCTATTGTTTTTCTATTCTCAACTTCATTTACCTCTGTCCTAATCTTTATTATTTCTTTTCTTCTGCAACATATGAGTTTGTTTTTTTTCTAGTTTCTTAAGTTGTAATCTTAGGTTGTTAATTTGAAATCTTATTATTTAACTTAAGCATTATAGCAAGAAAGTTCCACTTTAGAATTGCATTTTTTGTGTGTTCCATACATTTAATTATATTGTTTTTATTTTCATTCTTCTCTAAGCAATTTCTAATTTCTCTGTGATTTCTTTTTTTTTTTTTTTTAATTTTTTTTTTTTTTTTTTTTAATTTTTTTTTTCAACGTTTATTTATTTTTGGGACAGAGAGAGAGACAGAGCATGAACGGGCGAGGAGCAGAGAGAGAGGGAGACACAGAATCGGAAACAGGCTCCAGGCTCTGAGCCATCAGCCCAGAGCCCGACGCGGGGCTCGAACTCACGGACCGCGAGATCGTGACCTGGCTGAAGTCGGACGCTTAACCGACTGCGCCACCCAGGCGCCCCGATTTCTTCTTTTTTTAATTGGTTGTTTAAAAGTGTGTTAATGTCCACAAATTTATGAGTTTCCCAGTTTTTCTTTTGTTATTGATTTCTAACGTCATCTAGTTATGACCACAGAAGAACTTTATATATACTTTTTAAATCTATTCAGACTTAATTTGTGGCTTAATATGTGGTCTATCCTGGAAAATGTCCTACTGCACTTGAGAAGAATGTGTACATTCTTGTTGAGTAGGATGTTCTATGTATGTCTTTTAGATATAATTGGTTTATTGGATTGTCTTCTCTTTCCTTACTTATCTTCTATCTGGTTGTTCTATTCATTATTGAGAATAGGTTATTGAAATCTCTAGCTGTTGCTGGGGAACTGTCTATGTCTCCCTTTAATGAAACCAGTTTTAGCTTCATATATTTTGATGGTCTGTTCAATGTGCAAATGCTGATAATTTTTAGATCTTCTTGCTGTATTAAGCCTTTTAAAAAGTTTTTTTTATTTATTTTGACAGAAAGAGAGGGCACATGTATGCACATGCATGTGAATGGGAGAGGGGCAAAGAGAGAGAGTGAGAATCCCAAGCAGGCTCTGTGCTGTCAGCTTGGAGCCCAATGCATGCAGGGCTTGAACTTATGAACCATGAGATAATGACCTGAGCCAAAACTAAGAGTTGGAGCTTAACTGACTGAGCCACCCAGGTGCCCCTGTATTAAGACCCTTTTATTAATATATATTGTCTTTCTTTGTTGTTTTAATCCTTTTGCATTTAAAGTCATTTTTTTTCCTGATTTTAGTATAGGTACTCCTGTTCTTTTTTGGTTACTATTTGCACGGAATATCTTTTTCCATCCTTTCACTTTCGATCAATTTTGCCTTTGGATCTAAGCTGAGTCTTTTGTAGACTGCATACAGTTGGATCATATTTAAAATTTTTTAATGTCTATCCATTTTTGAAAGAAGACTGACAAAAGTGTGAGTAATGAGGGACAGAGAGAGAGGGAGACACAGAAACCAAAGTAGGCTCCAGGTTCCAAGCTGTCAGCACAGGGACCGAAGTGGGGCTCAAACTCATAAACTGCGGGATCATGATCTAAGCCAAAGTCCGTCAGTCACTTAATCAACTGAGCTACCCAGGTGCCCCTGGATCATATTTTTAAATTCATTCTGCCAATCTCTGTCTTTTAATTAGAGAGTTAAACCCATTTACAGTTAAGTAAGTACTGACAAGGAGGGACTACTTCTGTCATTTGGCTGTTTTCTATATGCCTTATAACTTGTTTGCCCCTTATTTCCTGCATTACTGATTGTTTTTTTTTTCTTTTGTCTTTATTTAACTTTTGTAGCGAAATTTGGTTTTCATTTACTTTTGTGTATATTCTATAACTATTTTTGTTGGTAGTTGGCAACTGAAGTTATAACAGTCTAATTTAAATTTAGACCAGCGTAACATCAATAACATACAAAAACACTGCCATTTTATAGCTCTGTCTCTACTACTTTCAGTTATCACAAGACATAAACTATTAACTTTTTAAAGTGCACTAGTATCTTATATGATATAGAAAAGAAAGTGTATAGAGTTATAAACCATAGTTACAGTAACAGTAGCTATGAGTTTAGTTATGGAATATAATACAAGGCATTTGTCTTGGATTATCCATGCAAGCCCAACTTATTCAATCAGTTCTAGCCCACTGAATTTTTTTTCTGGCTAAAAGTAGAAGAGACATGCAACAGAAGTGAAAATCAGAGATTCCAAGAGTAAAAAAGGTAAACAAATTTATCAATGGATGATTACATTTGTGTATGGTTCTTTTTGTCTTCAGCTTTATCAGTTAGAAACCTTTCTTCCAGAGTTACTTAAGTGATCTTTTTTATCCCCAACATTTTTAATGGTATTTGTCATATATTGTAATAGTTTGGCTTATTTGTCAGTCTGCATTCCAACCTGAGATTTCTCAACATCCTGGTCCATTTTATTTTATTTTATTTTATTTACATTCACTAAAGTTCAGTCTCTATAATATATAATTCTATGGATTTTGACTTGTACTCAATACTGTAGTGCTATATAGAAAAGTTTTATCATACTAAAAATCTCAACTAATAATAGTTGACCTCCTCCATCTTCCTTTAAGGCCTGACAACTACTGATATGCTTTCTATCCCTTTGTTTCATCTTTTTTCAAATGTCATGTGAGTGGAATTTACGAGGTCTACATACTTTTATGTCTGGCTTCTTTAGTTAGTAAAATACATTCAACTTGTATTCAGGATTTTGTGTAAGTAAATAGCATATTCCTTTTATTTGAGAATATTTCATTGCATGGATATATCTACAGTTTTATAGATGTCACCAATTGAAAAGCACTCCGTTTTTGGCAATTATGAATGAAGTTGATCTAAACATTTGCATACACAAGTTTGAAACAGTATAGGTTTTCTGTGTACTTGAACAAATACCTAGGAGTAGAATTGATGGCTTATATTGTAAGTCTATGTTTATAAGAAACTGCCAAATTGTTTTCCAAAACAATGCTGTAGCATACCTCATTCTTCTCGGCAATAAATGAGTTTCTATTGCTATGTATCTTTGACAGCATGTATTATTGTCATAGTTTGGAATTTTAGCCATTGTAAGAGTATAATTTTATCATTGTAGTATATACCTAGGAGTGTAATTGCTGGGTTTTATGGTAACTCCATGTTTAACATTTTGAGGAAGTGTCAAACCTTTTTCCTAAAGTGGCTGCAGCATTTTGCATTCTTACCAGCAATATGTGAGGATTCCAATATCTCCATATCCCTGTCAACACTTGTTATTGTCTGCCTTGTTTTAAATTATAGCCATCCTACTGGATTATGCCTCAAACATATTTTTGTCAATAATACATGCTACATTCAACTTATGGAAACTGCCATATCAACTAATTACAAAGCCAGTTTTTATTATTAAGCCAATCAGCCATATATTCTTTCCCCCCAAATGAAATCTCTTACTCATTTTCAATTCATATGGACATTTTCATCCTCATGAAAATCATTCCTCTTTTCAGCTCAATTTCTGATTCATACAGGTAATGAATCAAAGAGCCAAAAAAAGGGAGGCCTTGTCATAACTTTGTCGTCTGAAAGAAAAGTCACTATCACCTGCAGTGTTTAACTGTTACCCTCTTTGTCTCATGGGATTATCCTAAAGCCACCAAGCATTCTCTCACAGTTGTTTGAGAACGGAATAAGCAAGGTAATAAAAACAAATCATTCCCTCTTACCCTGGAATATACCTAAAGCCAATGGCTAACAACAAGCTAGACTGTTAACGGAAATATGTATCAAGGAAAAACAGAAGCATAATATGTTGTCTTAAATAAATAAGGATTTATAGACCCATCATTTCAACCCATCTCTTTATTTGGTACTGCAGTTTTTATATCTCAATATAATTAAGATTTGACATGGTCAAGGGTTTTTTCGTTGTTGTTTTGTTTTGTTTTTAAAAGTAAGAGCAAGAGTCAAAAGAGATATGGAAAAAGAACCTGCAAGAGCCTTAGCAGGACTATTCTTATTCCAAGGTTTCTTCACTTCCCCAGCTCTCACTGCAAGCCGGGTACCAGTCACTACTCGGGGTTCGTGTTCAGCACCGGCAGTTTGACGCTTTACGGCAACACATTCCAAATCAAGATTGACAGGACCGTTAACCAATTGCAGAGCCAAGTTTCCTTTTCCCTAGTTCAATACGCCTGCCCTGTGGGGGACTTAGTGATGAAAAGGAAGGGGCGGGCCAAGAGGAAAGCCGTTGGAAAGCATCATCCATCCAGCCTCCCGAGAGCAGTAAAGTGGTTTTTCAGCATTGGGATCCAGGTGTCAGCTTCTGTCTTTGTATTATCAAGATGTCTCTTTCTAAGAAGTTAACTTTGGACAAACTGGATGTTAAAGGGAAGCGAGTCATCATGAGAGTAGACTTCAATGTTCCCATGAAGAAGAACCAGATTACAAACAACCAGAGAATCAAAGCTTCCATCCCAAGCATCAAGTACTGCCTAGATAATGGAGCCAGGTCAGTAGTTCTTATGAGTCATTTAGGTCGACCTGATGGTGTTCCCATGCCTGATAAATACTCCTTAGAGCCAGTTGCTGCTGAGCTCAAATCCTTGCTGAGCAAGGATGTTCTGTTTCTAAAGGACTGTGTGGGCCCAGAAGTGGAGAAAGCCTGTGCCAACCCGGCTGCTGGTTCAGTCATCCTACTAGAGAACCTGCGCTTTCATGTGGAGGAAGAAGGAAAAGGCCAAGATCCTTCTGGAAATAAGCTTATAGCTGAACCAGGTAAAATAGAAGCCTTTCGAGCATCACTCTCCAAACTAGGGGATGTATATGTCAATGATGCTTTTGGCACTGCTCACCGGGCCCACAGTTCGATGGTGGGAGTGAATCTTCCCCAGAAGGCATCTGGATTCCTGATGAAAAAGGAGCTAGAGTACTTTGCCAGAGCCTTAGAAAACCCAGAGAGACCCTTTCTGGCTATACTTGGTGGAGCCAAAGTGGCAGACAAAATCCAACTGATCAAAAATATGCTGGACAAGGTCAATGAGATGATAATAGGTGGTGGAATGGCTTATACCTTCCTTAAGGTACTCAACAACATGGAGATTGGTGCGTCCCTCTTTGATGAAGAGGGGGCCAAGATTGTCAAAGATATCATGGCTAAAGCTAGTAAGAATGGTGTGAACATTACCTTTCCTACTGACTTTGTCACTGCTGACAAGTTTGAGGAGAATGCTAAGGTTGGCCAAGCCACTGTAAAATCAGGCATACCTGTTGGCTGGATGGGTTTGGACTGTGGTCCTGAGACCAACAAGAAGTATGCTCAAGTTGTGGCCCATGCTAAGGTAATTGTGTGGAATGGACCTGTAGGGGTATTTGAATGGGATGCCTTTGCTAATGGAACAAAAGCCCTCATGGATGAAATTGTGAAGGCCACTTCCAGGGGCTGTATCACCATTATAGGAGGTGGAGACACTGCTACTTGCTGTGCCAAATGGAACACTGAAGATAAAATGAGCCACGTGAGCACTGGAGGAGGTGCTAGTCTGGAACTTCTGGAAGGTAAAGTCCTTCCTGGCGTGGAAGCCCTCAGCAACCTATAGTTGACGATATTCCTGTCTACTATTTCCTGTCCATAGGCTTTAATTCAACTTAGTGCTTTACATTTCAACTTGACTTTTGTTGGTTAGCCCCAGATCAAGACCTATGCAATGACTAAGAGATTGGCTATCAGTAACTCTTAACATTAGTACAGCAATGCAACCCAGTTTGGCCATGCATTTGCCTGCTCTCTTCAAGATCTCATTTGAACTCTACCATTGTGATACACAGGAAGGACATAATCTTGCATTGCATATTAAAGTGAGTTGAATAAACTTAATCTCTCTCTCTCTCTCTTTTTTAATTTTACTACATCTTTGTTACTGTGTCACTACTTGAAACATGGAAAACAAGAGAAAACCCAAACTGTTGAAGGTTGGGGTAGAAGCTAAAAAACTTTTAAACAATAAAAGAAAAATAAATCAAGAAAAATAATTGTGTTTAAGAATTCATGGGTAACAAAGCTCAGCTAAAAGGAAGTTTCTTACTAAATAAGAAAGAAGAGAAATAAAAGATATTTATTGAATTCAAGAAGTTAAAAAAGGGAAAGAAATGAAACCCAAGAAAGGAATTATGTCTGTATGTATGGATGCACTATAGTACATATATATGTCTGTGTACTCTCATATGGGATCTACAAATTCAATCCACATTTTAAATAATTGCTTAATATGTAAAGCAGAATTGTTTTAATAAATATGTAATATATATAATTGCTAAATCTTAAAACTAGATTTTTGAGATAAATATATTTATAGGCATGAGAAAAATAAGAATATAAAAAGTCTTCCCTGTTAGAAAATAGAATAAGAAAATACTCAGAAATGTAGAAGAAATTAAAATACTTATTGGAAAATATTTTGCCTAACTCTATATACAAAGAGCTGTCACAAGGCAATACTGTTAAGTTTAGAGTAAAAATGCAGAGTAACTTATCCCAGTTGTAATAGCCTATGGCCCATAGCACCAGGTCAATTCTATAAATTAACTTAATTAAAATAAGCTAAAATTAATTAAATAATTAAGCTTTTAATGTTAATATGCCCAAAACTTCAGCATATTCCTGAGGACAATATTCATAATGCCATGATAATCCCAGAGAAAATATAGGAGTTAAGATACAGATTTAAAAACAAGTAAAACAAAAACCCAAAATTATAGCAGTTGAAATAAGGTTATACCATATTATTTTCTTTCAAAAAAGTCCAGGGCAAAAAGGTGGACTCTTCTCCATGAGGTCATCTAGGGAACCAATCTAGTGAAACAAATCTCTTACTCTCAATAAGTAAGTTACATTTCTGTGTGTGAGGTGTCAGTCTGCATTTTTACTGCTTGATATCCAGTCCAAAGGAGAAGTTAGTGAAAGGCAATGTGTTTCTTTTACACACATGTCCCCCAAAATTCAGGAATTTTTCTTTTATTGGCCATTTTGTGTTCTGCTGGGGTCTATTTTGCAAGAGAGGCCTGGGAATATATTCTCTGTAGCTGGATACCTTGTACTCAACTAAAGATCAACAGATTCTATTACTAAAAGGAAGTGGAGAGGCAATAAATACCAAGGGAAAAGTAAAGGCTCCTGATAGACTTTCACTCTGGCCACCCCAGTATCCATGTATGAGTATCCATGTATCCTTCTTCCTACATAAAGAAAATATCCTTTCTCCAAGAAATATAATAAAATGTCCAGTTACTGCATCCCACTCAAAACTGAGTATCTCCGGGTGATACACAATCTTTTCGATATCCTGTGGGGAGCCCAACAGTCTGATGAACAGAAAAGTGCAGTCATTTATTTCTCTCTTACCTCCAGCCCTCATACACACTCAATATACAATGGTGGCGAAGAAATAAGAAAGTGCAATTAAAAACCCTCACCTAAAAAACTCATTGGTTCATTATGATTGGGAAATAAATAGTGCTGGCTCAGAATTTCAAAAGCTCCCATCGCCTGGCAGTAAAAGAACTTCGTGGTCAGACTGGTTTTCTTCTCTGGGAGGAAGTTTCTTATCCATTGTCCCTTTTTTGGCCCCAAGTTTGATCACCTGGGAAATTTTCCTTGTTTCCTAATCTTCCATGCCATCTTCTAAAGCTGATGTTGGAGAGTTGGGCCACATTAGGCCACCACATGGTTCTCATAGCTTCCTCTTTGATGCTGTGGTTTTAAGAAATCAAGGATTTCTTCATATCACACAGTTGAAAACCTTTCAAGGCCAGGTTAGTGACTTTTCAACTTAAGAATCAAGATCTCTGTGTGAAAGAAGCTCACCCAAAAATATCTTCTAGTTATGTTTCTTATTCTCCTGACTCTTGCTTTTAATTAATTGGTTGCTTTGCTGGGCTCACTTCCTTTTTCTTCATTTTAAGATTAGTTAACTTGTGGCCCTCCAAAAAGTAGGCAGTGGGAAGGCAACACCTATCACCTGATATTTGCCTGTGGCCTCCTCATTATTTTTGGCTGAAAACTCCAAATGGAAGACCTTTGAGTAAAACTGACAGTCTTTCTTGTGTTGTTTGTGGGAGTGAGACTGTTAGCTTTTCCAACTCTGAGAGAACTTACTTTCCTGGTGTATTAGCCAATTTGGGTTGCAGGCAACAAAGAGATTGTCCAATATTTCCTGGATATGCTCATTTTTGGGGGTTGCAGTATTTTGCTTAAGACAGCGTGTAATAACAAAATGTACTGATATTCTGCCTCTTTCTCAACACTTTCTCTGTAGCTTTAAGCTCTACAGGAACGTGTTGTGCCTACTACAGTTTTACCAAATGCCACAGCAGAAACATGATCAGCACCTCCCAGCCTTCCATTTTACTCTCTTCCTTCCACCTGACCTCTACGTGAATATTATGTTGTATGAGGTTTTTTTTTTTTTTAAGGCAGCACCCCACCTACAGGTAACAATTTCTACATTAGTCTCTGCACTAGTGATTCTCACCCAGAGACAATTTTTCCTTGTAGAGGATATTAGCCAAAGAATGGAAACATTTTTGTTAGTCACAACTGGGATAAGAAGAGGAACTATAGGCATCTTGTTGCTGTGGCCGAGGATGCTACTAAACAACCTACAATACAAACACAGCCTTCACAAAAAAAGAACAATCTAGCCCAAAATGTCAACGCAGAGATTTCTTTCTTTCTCATGTGACATTCCCCAGGGTGATAATGGGTAAGTAGGCACTTCTTGAGCTGATCCAAAGATTCAGGCTAGGAAAATGGCTCTGTTAACACCTGCACCTGGCTTTCATCTCTAGGAGCAGAAAGATCAATTCAATTGTTGACATTTTCCAGCCAACAGGATAGAGAAAGAGGAATCCAGAGTAAGCACCATGTCTTTGAGAAAGAGAACAAGAAGTTCTTTTGGCCTGAACTTAGCAATGTGATCATATCTAGCTCACAGGGAATAAGGGCAGTGCATTCTTTGACTGAGTGATCATGGGCTCAGTTGAAACTATTACTAAAAAAAAGAATTAAAGGTGAATTTAAAACAACATCAAATGGAAAGACTTATTAAAACTTTAGAAGACACTGAAAGATCTTAAAGATCATGTTTCTGTACATTTAGAGAATAAGCATACTTCATGGAAAAAAATTATGAGGGAAGTAAAATGATTTAAGACTATGAGACTGAAAATAAGCTGGCAAAAGGTAAAGGAGGTGGCAAATTTAAGTATTGCTAATACAAAATATTAAATGGTGTTAGAACCATTACATAAAAGAATTAAAACTGCAAGGGAAAGAATCAGTGCCTTGAATTAGAAGATTGGGGGGAAAAAACAGAATTCAAGCAGACCTAGAAAGTAAGAAATATTTGTGTGTGTGTGAATATATGTACACATACTTACATATCACATACATACATGTATGACATGTATATTTATGAATAATATATAGTATATAGTTGTAATTGAAATTTTATTTATTTCATTTTATTTTTATCTTTTTTTTATTTTTTTAAGCTTTTATTCAAATTCCAGATAGTTAACATACAGCGTAATATTAGTTTCAGGCGTACAATATAGTGATTCAACATTTCTGTACATCACTGTTGCTCATCACAAAAAGTGCACTCCTTAATCCCCATCACTTCTTTAACCCAATTTTATACTTACATTTAATAATTATATACATTAAAAATAGTTTTTTTACTTTTTAAAACCAATTTTTTAAAATTATTTTTAATGTTTATTTTTTAGAGACAGAGTGTGAGTCAGGAGAGGCAGAGAGAGAGAGGGAGACACAGAATCTGAAACAGGCTCCAGGCTCTGAGCTGTCAGCACAGATCCCAATGCAGGGCTCAAACTCAGGAACCGGGAGATCATGACCTGAGCTGAAGCCAGATGCTCAACCGACTGAGCCACCCAGGTGCCCAAAACCAATTTTAAAAAGAAACTGAAAATTAAGGTATTAACCACAGGATGGTGGGACTGCCCTGGGTTTTGGGTTCAAACCAAAAGTGTGGGACTTACTTGTTTCCTCCAAGGTTGCAATTTGAATTATTTAACACATGCACTTGGAAGTTACCATTTACTTATTTTCTGTGCATTTTTTTTGAGAGAAAAAAGTGCAAGCAGAAAAGAGAAAGGGGGAGAGAGAGAGAGACAGAGAGACAGAGAGAGGCAGAGAGAGAGAGAAAAAAAATCTGAAGCAGGCTCCACACTCAGTCAGGAGCCCAATGCAGAGCTTGATCCCACAACTGTGACATCAGGACCTGAGCCAAAATCAAGAGTCAGACACTCAACTGACTGAGCCACCCACGTGCCCCATTTTCTGTGCATTTTTTATTTAAAAATACTGTATTTAAATAGCTTATTTCAAGCAATGTTAGTTAATAAAGCTGTGAAGAAACTTTGTTTTAAAAATTAGGTGCTATATTTCATGGCTTTATGCTTCCATTAACTTTGCTTTTAAGTATTTCATATTTTAGTTAGTTATTAGACATCTCCTAGTGATCATAGCAAAGCTTGGGTTTCCTAATTCAATGCATGTTAGTAATAAACCAAGAAA